GAATAAAATAAAACCTGTCTTCTAATTAATTGTATGTGTGTGTGTGTGTGTGGTAGAAGTATCGGTTTTTGTACTCGGTATCGGCAAGTACTCAGATCCAAGTATCGGTATCGTATCGGTTTGGAAAAATTGGTATCGTTGCATCCCTAATTTTTGTCTTTTTTTTTTCATTTTCCCTTAGGTTTTATTCAATTATTTAAATTTTCAGTTAATTTTACAAAAATATGCATTTAAATAAGAGTTTTATTTCTCTCTCGTACCTTTGATTTCAGCGTCCCTCAGGTTGTACCGACAATCTAAAAAGAAAAAAAAGATAATGTGTGTCTAAATGTTGTTTTGACTCAGTGTCTGTGAATAAATCCTCCATCATGTTTAATGTCAGCTCAGCTCTTTTTCACACACATTTCTATGTTCATATGTGAAGCGGTGTGTGTTGGAGTGTTTCCACAAACACAGCAGTCAGAGTGTAAAGAATGGATGTTGTAGGAGGTGTTTCTGTAGTGAAGAGGCTGAGTGTCTGTAGGACTCCAGTAGGGAGGAACTTCCACTCAGGTGTTCCAGGTGTTGCTGGATGGAGGAGGGAAGCATTATTATGATTGTGATGGCATATGAACGGTGTGTTGTCCTGTTGCAATATTTGACTTTATACTTGGGATTTAACAGGAAGCTACTAAGAATATGGGAGAAATACGCTCTGTCCTGTTAGTCCCTGTCAGTAATCTTTCTGCTGCATTTTGGATCAACTGAAGGTTTTTCACTAAGTTTTTAGTGAATCCTGATAACAAGGAATTACAGCAGTCCAGGCTAGAAGTAGTTTCATAGCCTCACCCTGAGATGAGATGTTTCTAATTATAGTAATATTAAATATTAATGAAATGACAGGAAGCAGTCCTACATATTTGTTTAATATGCACACTGAAGGACACCTCATACTCAACATGGTGTCTAATGAGATGCTTGCTCTGGATGGCATTACGTTATTAACACTGTGAGGAATCTTTAAGATTTTATTTTTGGCCCAAGTATGAAAAATCATATTTTATATTCTGAATTTAGATAACATTTACGAGAAGGAAATTAAATTAAATTCAGTTATTTGTCTTTAAGACATGCCTGCAGTTTAACTAATGGATTTGTGTATAACTGGGCACCAATGGAAGTGCAATGCAGTGTTTTCTAAAAATATATGAGATCAGGGAAGCATGTATGATGTAAAAAGTATTCTAGTCTGTATTAGTACTTTGTAATGATCAGGGATGTCAGCTGTTTTACTTTGTTGTAAAGATTATTTATTGTATTTATTTTTACCAGGGGGGGCCGAACCAGAGATTCAACATATGAATCAATTGACACAAGGTAATTTAAACCAATGCGAAATGAAATGAGAACAAAATGTTTTTTTCCAGGCTGTTGTTAGTCCAAGTTTAAAATCTCCTCGCATTTCATCTATAAAACCACTAATGTGATGAACCACCACTGCTGTGTCACCAGCAAACTTCAGCAGCAGGATGGTGTCTGTCAGCAGTGAGATACACACAAGCAGATTCACTATGTTTGAAAATGATCAATCCAAATCATATGAAAGCTACAAATATGCTCTAAGTGCGATGTTTCCAAAGCTATAGCATTAACATAAAATAATAAGTAACGTAACATATTAAATAACCATGAGAGCATGAAAGTAGTAAAAACATGAGCTGTCACTATACTGATGTTTTTACTCCTGTTTGTATTTCTGTAGTTTCTTCTTGTACTGTCAAACAAGTTTTCTGGTTAGGATTGGATGGCAGTGATTAATGTTTGATGTCAGCCATGATGTTTATTGTCGCAAAAAACATAAGCAGCACTACAGGGTGTCTCTAATCTTAATGGACCTTTTGTGTGTGTCTTCTTGATGACAGCCATACAGAAAGGCTTAGCTTATTCACACAGCGCTCCAGTATTCCCCCAGAGAGGAGAGGTAAGAGGACACACACACCTACACACCTTAGCTATAATGCATGTAGACGGCGATGCAATCTAATTAATTGATGTTCCAGCATTTGTACAGTACCATAACAATAGCATACATAGGAATGTGAGTTTTTAATGAAATGTGAGTTTTCAGTGAAGGTGATGAATTTTAATGAAATATAATATACTGTCATGGTGAGCTGTGTGGCATGGTAGAGGATTCTACTAAAAATAGGACAAACTAAGAATAAAATAAACCAATACTTAATGAAAGAAACAAAGACAAACTAAGGCTAATGATCTTGAACTCGACGAGACTTGACATTACATGACTGGAGAACCTAGAACTAGACAAGAACACAGCTACTGTAGGGGACGCACCAAGAAAGAGGGGAAGGACTAAAATACACAAGTGGAATTAACTAGAGGCTATGGAACAGGGGGGAACACAGCTGGGACTAATCTGACATAACGAGACAAAGGGGAAGCAAAATTGAACACACTGAACACACGACAAAGGACTATAAAAAAAACGAAAACAGAGATACAGATTGAGATGTGGACTGGCTGAACAAAACAAAGACATGACGGGGAAACAGAAGAATAAACACGGGGACAGAACTAAACATGCACGATACACAACAGACTGCACATGGGACACAGAACCACAAGGAATACTCAACTAAAAAATATTACAGAATATTAATTCTTAAAAATTTTTTTTAAAAAAACAAACAATGGGTTGCCTGATTCAGGAGCATGACAAGTACATATGAATATGAATATAACTGTCACGGCTGCCGGGGTGAGCCCTGTGGTGAAGGAGGAAAAGGACCCAAAATGCAGGCAGTTGACTGGTGATGAGAGTGACGTTTATTTACAGAAGTGGCAGTGACAGAATAGGCAGTGAGGAATGACAAACGACTGGAGAAACCTAAACGGGGAAAACTAAATGACAAACCTGAGAGCATAAGAAACGGGGTGCGGGGCAGAGAGACGCAGATGGAGGAACTGAACGCCATGGAACATAGACGAACCAGCAACAGGCAAGAGACAGGGCTTAAATACACACACCAGTAATCAGGGGATGAGAGACAGGAGGGCAACACACCTGGGAGAAATCGAAGCTGACGGGACAGGGGAAACGTAAAATGAACACACTCACATGAGACGGGGACCTTCAGAATAAAACAGGAAACTCAGCCACAGAGAACCCGACACGACACTGAACTAAACAGACAGATTCACAAGCAGACAGTGTGACACCATAGACCACAGGTGTCAAACTCCAGGCCTCGAGGGCCGGTGTCCTGCAGGTTTCAGATGTGTCCTTGATCCAACACAGCTGATTTAATGGCTAAATGACCTCCTCAACATGTCTTGAAGTTCTCCAGAGGCCTGGTAATGAACTAATTATTTGATTCAGGTGTGTTGACCCAGGGTGAGATCTAAAACCTGCAGGACACCGGCCCTCGAGGCCTGGAGTTCAACACCCCTGCCATAGACAGACAGAACACAGTGGGACCAGAGCAGACACAGAACAAAACCCTAACAAATGGCAAATCATAACAGATTACATACTCAGAATAAACAAAAGCATAAAGAAACACAAAACACTGAGTCGGCAGACTCAGGACCATGACAGTAACATCCTAAGTTAGTTAAACAACTGTTAACAGTTCGTAAATCAGTGTTATTCCAAACAGTTTGTCTGAAGCAAATTGCTCCAGCTTTATAGACATTAAGGCAGAGTTGTCCAACATAAGGCCAAGGATCCAAAATTGGCCCACAAAAGGCTCTAAGTGTCAT